GTGTTGATTAAAGATTATTGATTCATAATTGACAGCTCATCATAGACTAAGTCCTTATTGGTTATTTTCATTATTCCTATTCTTTTGGTATTACTGTTAGTGGAATAAGTCATGGTTAGTGGAGAGGATTTTTAGGATCTCTAATTTGTTGAAGTTTATCTCCGTTTGTTTTTATGTTTAAGAGCTCTATAAATAGCTCTACAGATCAGTGAATAAAAATTAGTTCTTCTTCTCAGTTCTATATCTACTTTGAAGTCTTTGTTTTTTTTTGTTCTCTGCATTCCAGTTCCAACACGCTGGTCCTTGTTCCTCGCCTGGCAGAATTGGCATTGAACTGCTCACATCACGACGCTATCGGGATGTCTCCCTTTCAGGCTCTGTACGGCCGTCCTCCGCCTTCACTGTTCCCGACTCTATCCGTCCGTGCACGCACCCCATCAGTGGAAGAATTATTGAATGATAGGGCTGCCATGCTGGGTGATTTGAAGCTACAGTTACACAAGATGCAGCAGCGCATGAGGGATAGGGCGAACCAACACCGGCGGGAGGTCTCGTTTGCTGTCGGTGACCTTGTTTTACTCAAGCTCCAGCCGTACCGACAACATTCGGTGGCACGGCCGAGATCCCTCAAAATGTCTCGCCGATATTATGGTCCGTTTGAGGTCATGGAACACATTGGGGAAGTTGCGTACCGCTTGCGGCTGCCAGAGGGGTGTCAGATTCACGACGTCTTCCATGTTTCCTTGCTCAAGCCATTTCGCCTTGGGGAGGACAAGCTGCCACCGCAATCCCTTCCGTTGGAGTTCCTTGGAGGTCGCCCAGTTGCTCGACCGGCGGCAGTTTTGGCGCAGCGCAAGGTATTGGTGGACGGGTCACCACAAGATCAATGGCTCATACGATGGACAGATGGTTCGTTTGATGACGATACGTGGGAGCCCGTGGTGGAGCTCCAGCGCCATTTCCCGGATCTTCGGCTTGAGGACAAGCCGGTTCTTAACCCCTGGGGAATTGATACGGACACAAACCCGAGGCCACATGACGAAGGAACAATTGCAACGAGGCGTTCGAAGAGGAGCGTGGGACCCCCACGCAGATATCATGATTATGTTTAATTATTTTTAATATTTATTTTGTACTTAGATTTTTTTAGGTGGACGAATTATAAGTCCTTTCGAGGGTTTTTTTTCGGTTCTTTACCTCGATGCTTTTTCTTGAACCGACAGGTTAGATAACTAGTTTAATTAGGTTTGGGGGAACTTCTCTATTTAAGGAGGTGATTTACTCTCCTTAATGATCATCATAATACAACATCCCTTTAACCCCTACGTCTCTCTCTCTACCCTCAAACCCTAGCCCTGCGGCGCTCTCTTCTCCTTCGCCGTAGGTTTTGCCGTGCCGGAAAGTAGCGTGTATCAATCATCTTTTTCTCATTTTACGTTTGTAAATACCCCTCTCTCCTCCTCACCTTTGTATAACGATGTCATGTTAAAGTAGAGTACTGATGTAAAATCTGGTGATATGAAAGTAATATGAAATATTATATAATTAATCAAACCTAAAAGTATTGTCATGAACCACATCCGTGTCAGTTGTCACTGCATAAAATTGGATTTTCTTTTAAGCAAAATTTACTCTGTAAAAAACAAGTGAATGCTTAATCTATACTCAAAAGAAATTTAAACCATAATTTGCGTTTTTCTTAAAATAAATTTTAATTAATTACATTTCTCTCATCATTCCATCTTAAAGATATGAATATTTACTGTTTGATAGTTTTCTTTCAAATCATATATGAACATAAAACGGAGTTTCTTTGAAAACCATGCCATGAAACTAAAGTGTGCCACTAAATTTTTCAAATTCACCAACTTTTTGAAATCTAAAAAAACCCAATAAAATCCTAATTAAATATGCTTCCCTAAGTAAATAAAATTTCATGAATGATATCCCCCCTTGTTTTTCCTCTTTCCCAAAAAAAATTCAATTCCACACTTTAAAAAAGGAATATATTGCTCCCAACATCTTGCTCTCTTTTAAAAGTGAAATGCTATAGTCACAAACAAATAGTTCACAAACTTGCTTTTTATGGATTTTAAATTAAAATACAGAGTATTTTTTATTATTTGAGTGCATCTTATTTCTAGGAAAATGTTTAAAAAGGCAAGTTTGTGAATTTTGTGAACTGTCTGTTTGTGACTCTAGCATTACTCATTTTAAAACCGCATATTTTTACTTTTTTCGAGTATTAGTTGTTTTAAACTATGTTAAAGGATCAATATAATGTTTTTATGCAAAATTCTCTGTCTTAAAATGATCTTCATAGTCACTATTCACATAGTCAAATTTTAATCACTTTCTTTATATATTTTCGTTAGCTATTTAATAAAATAATATATTCATGTCATCTCTTATTTTGGAGATCTTTTCATGTAGTTTTTAAATATATAATTTTTATTTTTTAATTTTACAACTATAATCAAATAAATTGAATTGAAAATAATAAAAAAAAATTTATTTTTTATTTTTTATTTTTTTGTCATTGGTGGCATCGCCGTGGTGGCAGTTGGGGCAGTGTCATCGGTGGTGGTGTCGGTAGCAGCCGAGGGCTAGTGACGTAGGTAGTGGCATGACACAATTGAGAGGCAATATATATAGTCATGTTTAAATTTATATTTGAAGGGAGGAGAGAAAAGAAGGTGGAGGCGTCGAACTATGAGGTGGTGCGTGGTGCATGCGATGGGGGAGAGAGATGGACGAAAAGAGAGTGTGTGTGTGAAAGAAATTGAGATCAATTGTGTTAATTAGTTCTATTTATTAAAGGAGTTTAAATTTGAACTCTTACTTTGAGGATATGACATACTCTCTCCAGTCCTAAAAAGCTTTCATGTTTTGATTTTTTTGTCAAACGGTGACATTCTTTTACTATAAATTCAACACATTATAAATTAATAAATGATATATAATTTAATATATCAAAACTATATCTTAAGACGAACCAAATTAAATTGAATTTATATTAAAATTAAATATACTTTTATCACAATTTATGGTAAAAATGTGTCACTGTTTGACTAAATAAATCCAAATAGAAAATGTTTTTAAGATCACCAGAGAGAGTATATTTTACTCCTGCTGGTTTGGTCCTTCTCCTTTTTTCCCCCTTTTATACTATGAAAATATTTTCCCCCACTTCAATAGAGAAGCGCCCTATGTCCAAAATATTTCGGTTCGGTATGAGATTTTATGTCATACCGATTCTGATCTCTAAATTTCGGTTCAATATGGTACGGGATGGTTCGATATTGATTTTCGGTATAAATTGAGATGAATACATAAGTTTTGATTCATACATTTCTATGAATCTTAAATTTGGATTAAAAAACAATTAAAAAATCAAAATGTGACAGAGAGAGCATTTTTTTATTAAAAAAATTCTGAACTAGGTGGTATTAAAACAGTTTCAAAATCTATTGAATTGGATCCGCCACTAAGGCTATGCGGTATGGGGGAGCGGGAGAGTCCATGTCGCCCACCTGGCAGCCGACCCCGACGGGAACACCCCCACCCCCTCGATCGGTGTTCGGTGTCAGGAGCGTGCAGATGCCGACCGCCCTGAGGCCCTTGACCGATTTCTCTGCTTTTTTTCTTTTTGTTTTTGACTGCTCGAGCTAAAAAAATTTAAAAGATTTTTTAAAAAATGGCCGTTAGGTCCAAAATTTTTTTACTCCATTTAAATACACTTCTTCTATCCAAACTTTCGTCATACTCTCTCTACTCAATATTTCTACTTTTATTTCTTTCTTTCTTTCTTTATTTACACTCATTTTTTTAATCTCTTTTTCTAGAATGGACCCAAATTAACCAACTGAATAGGCCCGGGTTTCAACCATACGCTAATTTTGGTTGGCAAACGTCTCAACTGTGAAAATGGATATCGACGGCACCCCACCGGCGGGGCTGTGCTAAGGAAAATGAAAGAAAAAATTGCGAGTCGATGGCTTGGAGGGAGCAGCGATGGCATGTATTATTTTTTTGCATTATTACATATTTTATTTTATGTATTTAAATTTTTATTTTAGTTTTTTAAGTGTTTGGATCAACATATTTGATTAATGTAATACTTTGTCGTACTTTTTATTTAATAACTACTCCCTCCATCCGGAAATGTTTTTCACATTTGATTTTTCTTGGATAAACTTTGACTACGATTTATGGAAAAAACACATTGTATTATGATGTAAATTTAATATCAATATATTCATAATGAAACGTAGTTTTCAAATATCAAATTTTTATAAAATATATCTATGTATAAATATAGATATTGATGGTCAAAGTGCAATATTGGAGACCGTGAGAAGTCAAATGGGAAGAATATTTCCGGACGGAGGGAGTATATAAGTATATATATATATTTATTATTAAGTATCCAATTATTATTTAATGTTTTAGTTTATTTAATTATTTAAATTAATATATTAAATGTAAATGAAATGTTATAAAAGTAATATTTTATAACAGGATAAGGATGGAATGACAATGACACTCCTGGATGGGGATGAAACGAGGAAAGTTGATGTGGTGCTGAGTTAGAAGTAAGGATGATGGAGATGCTAATGATGGCACCCCATAGCCTAACCATAGATACTACTTTCTCCGTCCCATGAAAGATGAAACTTTTGCTTTTTAGGAGGGATTTAAGGGAGTGTATTTTGGTATTGAATTTCCAAAAATGTCATTTGATGTGATGAGTAAAAGTATGATTTGATGGATAGATTATTAGTAAAAAGGTATGATGTGATAGTTAGGGTATGAAAAAGTAAGGGGTAAAAGTGACTTTTTAATAGAAATGAGAAGTGTTTTGTGGGACGGATAAAAAAAGAAAGGAGAAAGGTTTCATGGGACGGAGCGAGTAATATATACGATTTTTTTGTACGTAAAACAACAAAAAGTAAAATAACGTGAAATTGGGGTACAATTTTTATTTTATTTTTTATGTTGAAATAGTTGAAATTATGGACCGGATTGAGTGTGGAGTACGTACTTCATTACAAAAAAAAAGGTTGGGTGGATAGAACTAATAGAAGAAACAAAGGTTGGGTGAAATTATGTTCTTTTGAGTTAAAAAAATTAATTTTCAATTCTTTTTAGTATTTAACTATTTCCAATTTTTTAAATAATGACTTAAAAAAATATTAATATAAAATAATATTATATATCTAAATTTATAACACATCACCTCAAATACGAATAATGATGAGCTCTTTTTTAACCAAAATTAGAGTTTTCCAATATATTTATTTGCATGATTAATCAAGTGACCTTTTAACACGTAAATTTTTCAATATTTTTCAACGATTTCTAGTTTTTTCTATTTAACTCTGAAATTACAATCCAAATAACAAAGTCTAAAAAGGAAGCCAAAAAAATAAATCTATCAAAATTATTAAGCAAAGAAAGGCCTGCCGGCCGCCGGTGAGCTAATTACTAGTCCCGGTGGTGGTCAGCGCCGCCGGAGCTACATTATTCTCCAAAGAACATTTCGACTCAAAACCTGCCAAAACCGAGGCGGGGTGGACGAAAGGCTCCAACGCCGGATGGCACCAAAACTGGCCGTTATTCTGCACCGCCGCCGCCACCTCATAATCCCGTTGTCGGGTCGTTCCGTCAACCGCCACCACCGCCGGAGACAAAAGCGGCGCCGCCGCCACGGTCTGATGATCATTACAAGGAGACCCATCTTCCAAGGAGATAAAAGGGTTGTACGGCATCCTCCTCCTCCCCGCGGATTCACGGTCACCGTCCGCCACCACCGGAGCTTTCTTCTGCAGACTCGTGGCGGCGGCCACCGCGACGGTGGATTCCTCCATTCTAATTTCTATTAATGGCAGCTGAAAAACTGAAATTAGCTAGAAAAAATTGTTTTAAGCAACGTGAAGGAGTAATATAAATATATAGAAGATGATTATAGAATAATAATCCTCCCTTGTCCTTAGTTTAAATTATAAAAAAAAATTGTGCTATTAAAATTCATGTGGGGAAAAAAATAATAACTGTCATGTACTATTGAAAACAAATGAATAAAGAATTGTTTGCTTTAAAAAAAAAAAAAAAAAAAAACTAAATGGAGAATTAAAGGAGTGAAGGAGCGTTAAGTATGGATCGGTTATTACTGGATCTATCTGCTGTAACGTAACGGATTTATATATTACCTAAAACAAAAGAAAATAGAGAAAGAAAAAATCAAACTTTCACGTTTCCTTCTTCTTTCAGAGAAAGCACACAAAAACGTACCCCGCGCATTGTTGTTGATGTTTTGACTTCTTCTTCTTCTTCTTCTATCCATTTTTCCTTCTATCTTTTCTATTCAAAATTAATAGTAAAAGTTATGGTTATAAATTAATACTCGGTATTAGATCTGATTTGAAACATTGACACCAATATTCTACTCCAAATTTATTTTGAGTATTTATTTTTAAAATTAATTTCCAAATTTTTTATGGTTTCAAAACGTTGCACTCTCATCCCCGCTGATATTTCCAGGTAGGGACACTAGTTCTTGCATGAGAAAAAAGACTAAAGTAAAAGTAAAATATTAAGATTATAATAAAATAGGACTTCTATATTTTTATTCTCGAAATATGAGCTAAAATACATTTACATTACCAAACGTGTTCATTTACATTACCAAAAAAATATAGTAATGTGCATGTCTACAGTGTCAAATTACCTCCATATTATCACAGTGCGAATTCCTATTTTGAAAATAAAAACATAGAAGTCCTATATAAATACTTTTGTTTTGTTTTTGTGTTATTTAGGATGATTTCTATTCTCGCATCTTATGTTTTGTTTATTATTTGGTTTTTTTCTTTTTTTATCTATTTGTTTCTTTTTCCTAATTTTTTAAAATTCCTTTTGAATTTTTAAAATGTTTTAAAAAACTCAATCATATTTGTGTTTGTAACAAAAAAAATAACATATACGTTTTCACTTTTTCTAGAATAATTTTTTTGATAAATTTAAAAAAGAAAATCCAGAATAAAAAATAAAAATATGGAAAATGAAATGAAGAAAATTGAAACATGCAAAAATGAGTCTTATACAAAAAAAGAATTTTCAGAATGTCTAAACAAACTCCTTAGAATTTTCAAGAATGTTCCTATTGCTACAAGCACTCCAACAAATAAGAGTGATAAGTCTTTTAAGATTAAAATAAAAGTTTATATTGTCATTGTTACACTGTCACACTAATCACATTGCATTGTCACATTGTGATTGCCACACTATCACTGCCACATCACTATCTTCAGTACCGTTGTGCGGCCGTGGATTACCAACGGTTGACTGATCACACTACGGAGTACATTGTAATTACTTCTTATAAAAAATCACCCTAGATAACACTCTAACTCACCCTAAAATACGCATTTAGCACTACTCATTGTTTTTAACAAATTTAGCAATTTATGGTGTCAACCCTTTCCTATCATACCCTTTACCCCTTTTTCTTTTTTTCATTAAAAATTACGGCACTCCCTGCACGTAATTGATCTCGATTCACGCTCTCTCCTTCCCTTCGCCGGCGATTATGCGTCCTCACTCCTTCGCCCAGGATTCCTTGGCCGATCAGCAGCGGCAATCATCAGGTTCTCTCTCGTGCTAATCTTCGATGTCCCTAATCAATTTCTCTTATCCTTCAATTTTTAAATTTCATTCCTTCATCCTTTTTATTCGGATTCCCATGTATTTTTAGTTTGAATTATTGTGTTTTCTTCATATTGAAGATTAGGGGCTGTGAAATCAAATTTGAAATACCAAGTATTTATTTGTCCCTTTTGAAAAATTAGGTCTTTTGAAAGGCATTGTGATTTTGGCTGTGAAGATTATGAGTTATGGTGTGGGCAGTGTGAAGATTAAATGTAAAAATTTTGTCTTGCATCCTTTTATTCAAATTTCCCTATATTTTTAGTTTTAATTATTGTGTTTTCTTCATATTGAATATTAGGTGCTGTGAAATCAATTTTGAAATACCAAGTATTTGTCCCTTTTGAAAGATTAGGTCTTTTGAAACGCATTATGATTTTGGCAGTGTGAAGATTAGGTGTTATGGTGTGGGCAGTGTGAAGATTAAATGTAAAAATTTTGTCCTGCATTTTTAGTTTTATTTATTTGAAAATGTAAATAGTAGAGAATGTCTTAATTTTGTCTAAGTAGTTAGCATAATTGTATTAAAAACAAAGGTGCTCCATTGAATAATGTTTTCTATTTTATTATTTAGATGGAGCATCACAGATGGGTTCAAATTTGATGATATTGCTACGTGTTGATGGGACATGGAATACTCATGTAAGCTTTACTTCAAAGTATAACACAGTGATTGAGGTCCCAGTTGGAACTTCATTCCAATCATAGACAGGCAACATCGTCATTTGTAGCTGATATAGTCTTTCATCATTATGTAGACGCTACCAAGAAACCATACCGTCCTAATGACTTACGTGAGGACATGAGACGGGAATATGGCGTTTCAATGTCATATAGGAAAGCTTTACTAGTCAAAGAGAAGGCATTGACCAAGTTGTATGGCTCAGATGAAGATTCCATCAAAGATTCCATCAGTGATTTGCAAGCCTCCATCTTGTAATAAGCGTCCCCCGGGTAGACCAAAGAAGAGGAGACTTCCATCAGTTGGTGAATTTCAAATAGGCTGGGCTGAGGCGTAGAAAGCAAAGATGCACACGGTGTTTGAATTTGGGGCATAACGTAAAAACATGCAAAAACCCAATACCAAACTGACACTGCATTCTTTCGCCTTCCGTATAATATATAATTCTCAATTGTTTCCTTCATCCATTTTTGATGTTGTTCAGACACATTATTTGGTTTTTTCATTCTTTTAATAGTTGTACTCCTTATACTATAACTTGATTTTTTAATTAATATATAATACTTTGTCTACTTGCACCATTGAAGTGCAAAACGTGAATAAGGTATAAGTTGCATTCTTTTAATTATTATTAAATTCCTTGTGAAATGTGGAAGTGTACTAGGACAGTGATTTTTTGGCAGTGTATATATAGTGGCAGTGTAGATATATTATGGCAGTGTATATATTCTGGAAGTGTATTTCAGACAGTGATTTCTTGGCAATGGTGTATATTTTGTGGCAGTGTATATATTGTGGCAGTGTATTTTACACATTGAATTTTTGGAAGTACATATTCCGGCATTGTAGAGATTACATATTGCAATGTATAATTACCGTAAAAAATTAAATCTCACGGCTTAAAATGAATTCTGCCCTTTTTTTGGTAGAGTTGTATGTGTTAGGGCACTAAATTCAACCTCAAACATATTGTGCTAGTGAAGAGCATAGAATTTCATACTTATTTATAATGTGGCAGTGAAGAGTGTGTATACATTGCAGTGTATATTGAACTTAAGGATTTAAATTTCACATCCTAAACCGAATTGGGGTCTACCAACTTCCATCAACAATTTTCGGTAGTGTCCTACCACCACGTTTGGTTAGTGTGTTTTCGTCAAATGTGATTTATATATAAAAATCTCACTATAAAAAATTATATTCATGGAGTTCTATAAATAGTGGATATAAAATGGGCACCAAAATCACTAGTCCTTAAATAACTTTATCAAACAAAGTGTGCAGTGTAAGCCTAAACAATTTTGGAAGTGTGGAATGGTCATGATCTTGTATAATTTTTGACAGTGTGACAAAAAAAATATCCACTAATCCACTTCTCAAATCAATTATTAATTAAACGCCCATAAATTATTACTAAAACAAATAAAAACTATCATGAATACCAAAAAAAATCTTAAACAAGCAAACACCAAACAACATGTCAAGAAGCTTGGGTAACAATGACGATATACACGGCACGTATGGAATGATTTCCCTACTTGTCTGGCCTTTCTTTCCTTTAGAGTTATAAACCCTTATCTTCCTTCTTCCAACTTCCAACACAAGTAACATCCAGTGGTTCCAGTGTTCAAATGCATATATACAAAATCACATTCACTCCAAGGCTTCGCATATTCGCGCGCTAATCCTAATACCTCACTTGTTAGACTTGAATTATCAATCACATCCTCCCTTTTCACCTTGCCGACGTCTACCATTTCCTGGTGCGTTTTGAGTCCTGTAAGAAATAAGGTGAAGCTGCTATGTACGTCTGGATCAAGGTGCATTAAAAAAATCTAACAAAAAATTCACACTGTTATGTTAAAATAACACTGCCCAAAAACCTTATGGATTATGCAGTATACCCTGCCATGTAAAAAACACCACCGAAAAATAAGAGAAACACACTGCCGAAAACCATATTGATTAGGCAGTGTACCCTGTCTTGTAAAAACAATACTGCCCAAAAACCTTATGGATTATGCACTATACCCTGCCATGTTGAAAAAAACTACCCAAAAATAAGAGAAACACACAGCCGAAATCCATATTGATTTGGCAGTATTCCTTGTCCTATAAAAACATCACTGACCAAAAACCGTTTCAATTAGGCAGTATATCCCGCCATTAAAAAAACTGCCCAAGAATAAGGGAAACACACTGCATTCACACAGCCCAAAAAACGAAAAACCCAAAAAAACGAAAACCCAAAAAAACAATGAATTACGTCTAACATTTACAAAAAAACCCTAAACGAGTTCAACAAAGCCAAAAAAATTCATTACATTGATCAAAAAACACTGCCAACCTTAAAAACTAAAACACCCTGCAGAGAACCTAAGGGAAACAAAAAACACACTACAGAAAATTAAAACACACTGTAGAAAATTAAAACACACATTGCAGTGAACCTTCAACAAAAACTCCCTGCAAACCCGAAAAAAAACTTTTTCTAAACTTTGTAAGAGAAAATTTTTTAGAAGCAAATTCACTGCCAAAAC